TATCTGATATGTCTAGGCACTGAGCCAGGAACTGTGTTTATTTAAAAAATTATCTGTAAGCCATGCCTTTAAGGTAGATGTAATGATTTCCATTTTAAAGTTTTATAAGTGGTTGCACCAAAATTCAATATTATAATGAAAGAATGTTGGGGTTGTAATATATTTAATGTTTTAACTTTATTTTTAGTGTTTATCTTACAAACAACATAAAAGGAATATCAAACTAACCTTTCCTAATTACTAACAAATTATCAGAAGTTTAGTTGTTAAAATGCAACTGAAGCATTCCCTTCAATTAATGCTTGCTTACCCTAATTTTAAATAAAGTGCCTAAAAGGTCATAAACACCTTTATGCAGGTTTTAAATTGCAGTCCTACCAAGGTGAAAAATTCAAAATGACTTAAATATCAAATAATAGAGAAATGGTTTATTTGAGTGATAATTTTGAATATGGGAAAATAGAGAAATGCTTTTAATAAGTATCTTCAGTGGAAAAGATACTTTAAAATGAAATGACTGAAAACTTGTGCACTAACATGACAACTGTGTAATAAAGTATTCCTGTGTAATTGGCAATAAGTACATTGTTTATGTAATAATGTTAGTGTTAAAATTTGGGTTTAAAGTATGATTGTATTGCTTCTATAATTTTAAAAAAGTTTTAAAACTTCAAATTAAAAATAAAAGATAAGTATTTACCTAGTGAATAAAACTAATGAAGAGTTATGAAGCGCTGGCTTATGTGGTAGAGTGCCTCCTTAGCAACTGTGAGGCCCTGAGTTCACAGAAAATATAACCTTCCTGAGGGCGGGGACTTTACCCTATTTCCTGCCTTGTTCCTACATGTTGGAATATTTCCAGACTCACTAAGTATTCATTAGATGAAGAAATGGCTAAGAGTATATAAATGTATTGTTAATTTTATGTTAGAAAACATTTTTAAAAGATTTGGTTAACTTAGAGGTTGATTTAATTTTTTCTACTGTGGTTTATGATACATTTGTTTTTATTAGACTAATAGGCAGTACATTTCTTCAAGTTACTTAGCGTGGTACCAAGTGTTATAACGTGAGTCAGAGACTTTCCTAAGTATCACCTATTTTTAGAACGACATGATCAAAGAACTGGAGGCCCGTGTCCAGCAGCTGACTGGAGAAGCAGAGAACAGCAATTTACAGAGGCAGAAATTAGTTCAAGAAAAATTGGAACTTGAAAGATGTTACCAGATGACATGTAGTGAATTACAAGAAGTAAAGGCAAGGTATTGTGTGAAATCAGATATGTATTGGGGGTAGCTGATATTAACTGATTAATTAAAAAATTAATCGTACTGTGCATTTAATCTTACGGAGGTTCTAAAGTAAATAGTACTGTTTGTTTATTCTTTAACATTCCTTTTAGGGCTGGCAGTGTGGCTCAAGTGTTAGAGCACTTTGGAGGCCCTGAGTTCAACCCCCAGTGCTGTGAGAAATAAGTTCCTTTTAAACATAAGTGGCATAATATTCACAAACAATTGATAAAAATGTGGATTCGTAGTCGATATATTGAAAGATAATATATTTTGGATTAGTTGATTAAAATTCCATTTTATAGACTGATTCTAAAATATTGGAAGTTTTATTTTTTTTAATCTTACTGATTTTAGGCGCAACATCCTGCATAAAGAGAAAGACCATCTTGTAAACGATTATGAGCAAAACATGAAACTAGTACAAGCCAAATATGATGCTGACATAAACCTCTTGAAACAAGAGCATGCTCTTTCAGCTTCACAGGTACTACAGTTGGCGATGGATCCATGCATAAAATAGTCATTTACTTTGCTCAGCCTGCAAACCTCAGACAGCCATGTCGAAGCTAATTATGTGGCATTTGAGAATAGTCACTCCTTTTTAAAAAATTTATTATTATTATTATTATTGTTTATTGTTGTTGTTGTTTTATTGGGGTACATTGTGTTTTGAAATAACTGAAACCAAGAATTTTTGTTGGCATTTAAAATGTTGAAAATGTTAAATAGTGTGACATAATATTTTACATATTAAAACATAACATGTTTTATATAGTGTGACATAAATATTTAATAACTTAAATCATGCTATAAATTAATCCTTTTAAATGCCAAAGTTTTAAAAGGAGGAAACATGAATTCTGAGGAGAAATAATTAGCTTTTTAGTAATAGCTTTTATAGAGTAACTACATATACTATTATTGTTTTGAAATATTGGTTCTTAGTTTTATATTTAAAATTTTAAAAGTTTTCTGTAAACCTCTTATTTTTATATTAGTGCCATGTTCTCATAACAAAAATGCATATACTGATTTATATGTTTCTTTCAAAATATTAATTTTTACTGTCTTAAAAATATTTTTAATTCAGATTTATAGATAATTTTAATTCTGATTGGAAAAAGATGTATTTTTATTCAACCAGAAGTTATAGGATGGCACAAAAATCAATATTCTGCTTTTTACTTGTCTTAAAATCCTCCCAGGCAGCCGGTGTGATTGAAGAATTAGAACAGAACATATGTCAATTAAAACAGCAGTTACAGGACTCAGAACTTCAAAGAAAGCAGCAACTCAAGGTGAGTTTTTGTATTCTACCCAGAACAATGGCCCAAATGCACTTTTCCTTTTTAAAAAATCTATGTTTATAAGTGAGAGTTTAAAAAAAAACTACGTGTAGTCATTTGTGATTCCTTTGTCACATTGTGCAATTTTCATTTTATTTATTGTAACTGACAAAAGTAGATACACTAGTAGCACGTAGAAATAAAGGACAATAATTTTAAGTTGAGCGATCTCCTTTTTTGAGAATAGTTTAAAAAATAAATCTTATCTAAGTATATTGTTTTAGAATAGTGTCCCCCTTTTAAATTATCTGCCAATCTTTATTATTTTCCTTCTCCTCCTCTCTCTTTTTCTTGTATCTTTCAGATTTTTTCCTTTTCTCTCATGATCAAAGAGTACCAAGGATTCATAAATGATATAACTTCAAATTTATCATTTCCATATTGAGTCAGTTGGTCATTCTTAATCTCCTAATCAGAAGGTCAGAAAGATCCTCTTACACTGTAAAGAAGGTACTTTGGAGAATGGTAACATCTCCAGACAACTAAGGCTTTATGCCCTGTAGTATAAATCTATTCCAGTTCCCACATGTAGCTTAGAAAATTGAGTGGATAGGGCTCCCTTAGTAAAAATATGCAGTAAAGTTTGACATCAAGTATATTCATTGATTTCATTGAATTACCAATTTTGTTGACTCTAAAGCAATTTAAAATATGATACAAATAAAAATTTATCATTTACAGGATCAAGAAAATAAGTATCAAGTGGAGAAAAATCAGTTAAAACGCACCTATGATAAAAAGGTAATATGTTTTGTGGGAAGCTGTAAAACGTTTAAAATAGCAAATGAGGCAATTAATGGGACTGATTTTGTAAAGCCATATGTTCAAACTGTTAAAGAATTATTTGTTTCTAAGCTAGTTTCAGCTAACCAGTAATCAATTTTTTCTTCATTTTTGTCGACATTAAAATATAACTTTCATGTTACATTTAATTGGTGAAGAGTATTATTATCTTAACCTCTCATCAAAACACTTTTGAAATTCTATTTTCTTTTTACAAGTTTAAAAACGTAATACAATGGGAATTACATTATATTCCATTGTATCACATGTGCAATACGAACTTTGAATATTTAACCACTGAACATAAAACAATGCAAGAAATGGCCACTACTTAAAAATTGGTAAGTAATTGGTTTTTGTCCCTTACAATATGCATATTTCTGCTGACATGTTAATATTATCAGTAATAACTAGGGGGGCATTAATACCTTCCTTATGTAGCAAAGTGCAGAGTCCAGTAGACTTATGACTATGACACTTCAGTTCTGAAATTGCTGTAAGACATCAAAAGAAAGAGTGGTTGAAATATTAAAGGTTTTTTGTTGCCTTTGTAATTATTTGCTGCTCTAACATTTACAAATGTACACATAATAGAAAGTGAGAAAAAGGATTACCCTTCCATTAATTAAAATATATACAAGTTAAAGGTAAACATGGTTTATATCACAACATTCTTAAACCACTTTAATAATACATCTTATCTGTCCATATGGTCACTCAGTAGATATCCATTAAATACTTTCACTGGGCAAGGTATCATATTAGGTACAAGGCAAGGCTGAGGATGAATTTGACAGACTCTGCCCTCCAAGAGCTTAATACATCCAAGGGATTTATAGGAAGAAGAATGTGTCATTTAGAAAAGTATTTCTCCTGGTACATATAAACCTGCATATATGCCCTTTAAAAATTATAAATATTCTTACTGCTGCAGTTTTAATACAGTACAGCTCAATGCAAGGTCTTAAGTATGTTTTATATCTACAAAATGATATGTAAACAGGAAGGGGAAATATTGCTTTGATTGAAATAAAGTTTTTCAGTATCTACTGCTGAGCCAAGAAGCCTCATAAATATTTCACTTACTAGAGGAGAGCATGCATTATCATAAAGCCTTGCTCCCCACTGTAAAAGCATCTGGATCCTTTGGCTGTACTCGATAGTTCATTGTTCATTGTTTGGGCAAATCTCTGGTTTCTCTTCATTACAGAAGAGCCTCCTGCTCTGTTTACACTCTGTGGTCAGCCTCTTCCTGAGAAGTGGTATCTGTGTATCTGTGAGACAGATGGGCAGGTGTCAAGGAGAAAGGCACAACTGTCTAATGGTGAAAGAATATATTCCTCTCCCAAACTTTTAAGTCCTATTGAGGACTGTTAGATAGAGAGATAGACCTATATAGGCAGTCCTTTCTCTTACCATTATCTTTTCGTGGGTATGTGGCTATTAAGTAAGCTAAGGTTCCTGCTATCAGTCCCTCTCCCTCATGAGTATCCACAGAGAAGGAAATCTGAGAACTCAGTTCATCTTTATCCTGTAACCTGTCAGCTGCTCCTATTCTAGTTCACTCTGGGAGCAGACCGAAATCCTCTTTATTAGGCACCATAACTACAACTGTTCCCTTTCTGTGAGCTATTAGAGTGGCCTAGCTTTTTAATAAAGTAACTAAAGTGCATTAATTGTTTTCAGTGTAAATAAGACTTGTTTAAAATAACAGCAATCTTTAAAAGAAAAATAATTGCATTTGTTTGTTCATATTGCATATGCTCCTAACATTATTTATTTTGGAAGGAAATGTTGCTCAGCATGTCACTTTTTGTTTTACAATTAATTCCATAATCTCCCCCTTTTAAATTGACATCTGTTCTTCTTTCTTTATTAAACCTGCTGTGATCTCAAGCCTTGAAGATTTGATGTCTTATACCCCCCTCAGGGAATATCCTTTTTGACTGCTCAAAGAGCTGACATAAATCTGACATAGCCCTAGCCTGTGTAACTGGATAGCTAAATGGGATATATAGGGCCTTTGTTTGTATGACAGTGTTACAGGTGTGCACATTCAATAACTTTTGGTATGAAACTTAGTTCTGAATATCTGTTCAGGAGGAGGAAATGCCATCTGAATGACATTATTTCCTCATGCCAGTGTGAAAGCAGCAGGATGGGAGCATACCATTCCAACTTGTCTTTGAGGTAAAAGAAAAGCATCAGATGCTGTCCCTAATT